TTGAAAGTAATTGTACAGGTGCCATGTCATTTCCAGGCTACAGCACAAATTAAGTAATTTTTACTTACTCTGGACTTGCACTAGGCAGGATTGTTTTTCCAGGCTCCAAGAGCAGCCTTGGATTTACACTATGTTCTTTTTCCAAGACTTCTGCCAGCTCTCTGTAATAGACACTATGAGAATCACTGAAGATATGAAGACACAATCGTAACTTACTCTTCATATTCACAGTTCACACGGTGGTGACCTGAAGAATTGTTGTCTTTTTTTGACTTTTTATATGCTCTGTCCAGCGACTTCCATTTGTTTTCCACTTGTGTGGCAGTCACGTTGCACAAGAACTCCGTATTGATGGCCTCAGCCAACTTCTTCCACAGAAGCCTTCTTGTGCTAAACAAAAAAGCAAAGCACAGTTAGTAGGAAAGAAGGAAGCGACGTAACGTGACCCAAGTCTTGCAGTAGCACATGAACCTTTCCTTAGTACTTCATATGTGTAGCTTTCAGGGATAATTGCTAGGGATGTTCGATTATTCGAAAATTTTGGATAATGAATCAAACAGCACTGTATTCGGTTCCTAAGTCGAATCGAATTGCACATATTCTAAGTAACAAATATTCTTTTAATAATCGGCACTGGCGGGAGAACCCCAAAACAACGAAACAGCTACAAGTCATTCTTTCAATCCCTAATGTGACCTGTACGCAGCCCAAGCTTTTGCAAGACTACCTACACTATATTGATTGTCGAATGAATGCGCTTCTGAAAGCTCCATTCTTGCTCAATTTTTACTGCACTTTAGCTGTATCGCATTTATCAGCTCCTGTCTTCGTCTTGTAATAACCAAAGGTGGGAACTACGAGTGCTTGCAGCTTCACGACTAGCAACAGATACAAGTTTTGCGTTTGCGTAAATTGTTCTTGCAGATGTAAATTTCAACGCCCATTGTTATCCGCTTTTAGTGCGCAGGCCATGTTGTGATGACGGGTTGATCTGCTCCGTTACATATTTAGTTGTATCTGCAATGTTTGGTTGTAAATTGTTTTGTTTTTGTGTCCCAATTTTATTTAAAGTGAGGTGACAAAGTCTCACGTTGATAACGCTAGTCAATGCCGTAGTTGAACCTACAATTACAAAATGTTACGAATATTCTAGTTCCTGCTGCATACGAGATTACCTTAGTTTTCGTAATTGTGGTATTTTGAGTAGATTCAAACTGACTGTAATGGCCTTTGTCGAAAGTTTGTGACTATTTGTTTCAAATAAAATGTTCTGTTCTAAGGCTGTTTTGAAAATGGTCTACTTACTATTCAAACAGTATTCAATTACTATTTGTATTCTATTTGGTGCCATTACTATTTGACTCTTACTTGATTAGGTTCCGAAATTCACTATTCACACACTTCTGATAACTGCGAACGTTCTTTTTGTGCGGGAAGCATTATGTTGGAGAAGTTGAACATTGTGTAAATCACTCTTTTGGATCATAAAGCTTCACTAAGGAGACAGCCATATTCTAACCTGTCTTTGCATTGTAAAACATGCAGCTGCGCAACCTTGTTTGCTGACACGACGGCGCAGTCTAGGTTCAAAGATAGGGTAGCACGTGTCAAGAAGCATATCTCTTTTAACAATGAGCTGCACCATCTTGAAAAGTGGCAGTGCGAGAGAAATGCGGACAGACAGTGAAGACACAAGGACTGCAGGGCGAGACTTGCTAGAGATGTGCCTCAGAATAACAACATGCAATTCCCTCTAGTGCAAATTCTCAAGGCAGCACTACACTTGCAACATGGCTTGAGCTTGGAGGTGCTGCACCTTTTCGGCAAGACAGCGGTTGTGCAATGCCCAACACAAAAGCACCGTCGCTGTTTTTGAAGATCACTTGACTTAATGAAACATTACGAATGCCTTCGTTGTGTATATATGTGCGTGACTATACATACTGTTTGTGTGTATATGTAAACGTATATGTCACAGTCAGGCGCATAGCCAAAATTTTTTTTCAGTGGGGGGGGGCAGTAAAATGTAAATTGCTGGCAGTAAAATGTAGGCAACAATAACCATCGCCATTGTGAACTTCATGCGCCCTTATCTTGTTGGTGCTTGCCTAGAGTGAAACGGAATAATAAAAAGCTGCAAATAATTTTGGACATAGGATGACATACCGAAGTGCCCTGGTTTTTCCCACCAAGTCCTTCATTTCCGAGTATTTGGCGATGAAGAACCTTGTTTTTCGGGCGCTCCAAAGCTCTTCCACATCTTCAGCCGACGCGGCTGCTGCTGGAAATGCGGCTAAAGCCCCATCGCTGTCAACGTCGCCGTCGCAGGCAGGAGAAGGCGTCGGCGGTTGTGCCGGAGGGGGGTCATTTTCACGATTCCCTGCCATGAACCGCAACGTAACGCGCTTGCCGTCTGCAAGGGCGAAAACCAAGATTAAAAATACCGACATAGCATAAGCAATGCTACGAGGCTGTTTGCTGACCGACTACGACTCCTGGCCGCTAACCACGTTTTTTGGCAATGCATGCAGCCTGACTTACCTGATGCCTCATAGACGTAACCGTTGGCGTCCGTCATAAATGACCCGTCGGGATTGTGAAGTGCCTTAACTTCCTTTTGAACGCCCTGAACAACTATTTGCAACGTCGTCTGCTCTGGCCTTGGGGGGACGCCCGCCATGCTGCACTACTCTGCACCTGCTTTGGAGTGCGTGCACGCCGGTACAGAACTCGTCAGGAACTAGGCTTACACCTAGACAAAACGAGGGAGCCAGTGCAGAGGGTGCGACAGAGGGCGCGCGCTGCTCCGGCAAAACGAGGACGAAGGTGCTGCACCCTTTGAACTGGTTCAGCCGGTGCAGCCAAAACGAAGAGACCATTTGTCTCTTTGTCGTCATTCTGTTCTTGCGCTATAACTGTCGTCATCTTTCCTGGGAATGTTATGCCTGGATGTTCAGTTCCTCAGGGCTACAACCATTTGCGTTATTCTAGTGGGCCACTACGCGCCAGAGCGAATACGGTATGCAGCGGGAGGGATAATAGTGAGTTTTAGCAAGCTACGTAAACACGTTACGGAAAGGCGGCAACACTGAACCGGCTGATCAGTGCGCATGCGTGACCATTGTACGAGCATACGGAAAGGAACCGTGTCGTATTCCCGTAACGTATTTCCGTAGCTTTCTAAAACTCTCTAATGGCGGCTGCTGCAAAAGTCGTCACTCGGATCGGAAGAGCGGGCAACGAGGCATTATACGAGCTCCCGAAATCATCAACTTGACGCTGCGACGCCACTTGCTGTGCGTAGAGGCACTTACGCTGTGTCGCCCATAGGCAGAAAAAAATTTTCTGCCTTTTTCCCTTCCTCAAGAACCACACATACATAGTCTAGTGCGGTGTTACTGCAAGCGTTTGACATCGCGAGCTAACTTGGTGGCGTGGTTGGCACAATTCGCCCGCCATGAGCGCTTGCGTGTCCGTTCGCGATTTAGCGCGTCTTGGCTGTCGAATCATCGGTACGCGGTTGATGCCGACAGTCGGCCTCCCGGGCCTGTTTTTGAGCTGAGACTGCACCATCGGCCCGACGCATGTGAGCTCTCTGAAGTTTGCACTGTCGGCGCACTTCTAGAGTTGTCCGTTGCATACCCTTGTGGAAGGCTTCGGGAGAAACTGATGCTCGCATGCTTGGCGACGCGGCCTCGACGAGATGGACGACGTCACGCACAACGCAACCAATGGCATGTGTGCTTGTGTAAGACACAAAAAATGACGTAACTCATAGGGCAGCCATAGGAGATCACTTGTGATACCCGTGCCAGACAGTTTTTCATTTCTTCTAGATTTATCTGTGAAATACTGCCTTGTTTTTATATTCGCAACTCTGGCTTTCTGAAATTTCAAAAAAAAGCGCAAAGAGGAAAACGTGCTGCATTTTTAGTAAAAGACGCAATTCTATTCCCATTTCATTGCATGCAAAAAACTAACAATTTCATTCCTATTTAAAGCGCTGTCCTCATTCTATTTAGGGCCATGAAAATGAGTAATGATACCGCAGTCCTTTCAGTTCTGGAATGGCAACTCTTCAACACTGGTCTTAACTGGGGAGCCTACTGCACTAGCAGTTCGCAACGCATGTTGCTGTTTGCCTCTCAAGCAGCGCATTTGAATAGTTTACCGTTGTAGCAACATACTCTGCGCATAAATCGCCGCAGTCTCCACGTCATCATTTGCTTGCCCGGCGTCACACTGCTGCACGCTGCACAACGTCTTAACAAGCGACAGCGCCACCACAGCGGCGCCGGAAGATAACGTCAACGGCCGTGACTATGACCTCACATTATCGCACCGGTATATACTACATGCACGTAAGCATCGGGATACTCGCACGATGCTGCCGCTAGTTGAATGAGGAAGTAGTTGTGTTTTTATGTTGCCGCTTCCTGTTTACTGACTTACCTAGATGCCATTTTCTATTTACTGAAATGCCCATAATCAAAAGAGAGGCGAGCTCCTTCACGAGCCACAGTATTTCGATTGGTTTGCTGGAATCTGGTTGCCGGCTCAGACGGCTAACCAACGTCTCGCGGCACTTGAGCTTCGCTCTTTTATGGCCAAGTGCATGAGCGTGCATTAAGACTTGCGTGGTGAAGACAAAGCAGCAACAGAAATGAATGTTACTACTGATGTTGAATTGTACTAGCTCTAATGCACTATACAGTTTAGGCGCTCGCTCAAGGCTTACACGCAAGAACAAAAAAGTCTAGCCTGAAAGTAGAATACCGGTGAAATTCACAACTAAAGCGCACCAAAGTATGCGAACTCGCAGAGAGGAAACCCGCGGAATGGCTTCCTCTCACAACCATCGCGGCGCATCGCGTAAGCGTTGCATGTGAAATGAAGCCGTGTCGGCGCGTCATGGTGAAACGAAGTTTCTTTAGGTGGCGTTACCTAGGGGCGCTTGATCACCTTGGGCCTCGCCACTCGCATGGAAAACCAGCTTAAGCAACAAAATGTGCCGTGTGATTCTGCCCTGCTCTCATGCAGTGAGTTATATATGGATGAGTGTAGTGAGAGTTACAAACTGCTGAAGGATGCGCAAGATTTGCTTTAGTTACCTTACAGGGACAAAAAAAAGCGTACAGGGAAAAAACAAAGCGACAGTTTGAGGATGTACAGTGATTTGGAGCAGTCTTATAAGGTTTTTTTTATGTGAAGAAACCACGTGAGAAGATCAGCGATAGGAGCTTGGAGGTAACCACAACAGTCGTATTTGGTGAGTGCTGCGAAATTGAGAGAGTTCTAGTATGTTTATTTAAAAAGTGTGCTTGTGATTCACATAAATATACTTCAAATTAGAATAGTTGAGTGACATAAGACAAAGACAGCACCAATTTACAATTTTCTTCTTGGAGTTTTATAGGTTGTTGAGGCAAGATATGCTTCGATGGAGGACGCAGTTATCAGTGAATAATCATATGACAAATAAATAGTGTCAGGGATGTCATTTGAGAGACTAGAAGCGGAAAAGGTCGAAGCACTGAGCATTGCGGTACGCCTTGCAGAACAGAACTACTTGTTGCCCAAATGTTAATGGTGTGAGGACTCTCTGAGTGATTTTCAAGGAAGCATTCGATCGAGTACAGTGCACCAGAATCTAGATTAAAGAAAGAGTGACATCAAACTTCAAGCGGGAGATGCGCTTGCCACTCGAAACTTTAATATGCATAAGCTTTTGTTTTGTGATGTACAAGTTGCGTACGTTGCGCTCAAGTTACTTTGTTTTGGGGGCAGACAGCGCACGAAAGGTGAACGCGGCATTCAGCAGCCTGCTACATTGAGAGAACTTCGACGCATTCACCGTTTCCTCAGGCCCCGCTCCAGACGTTTGAGTGACAACGTGTTAGCAACAATAATGTCAACGATCTCAGTGTTGTCACCAAAGTGCTCACTGATGGTAACACTCGCCAGTGGCTTCTTTTCAATTGCTTGTGTTGGCGTACCTCAAATTCAGCGCCTTCGCCGCACTACTTCGAATAATTTAGTGTGAGCTTGTCAGTGCGTGATAATTTTGACGCCAGTCTCATTAGCATTGCGTGCTAGCATGTCGTGAAATACCTGTGCGTGAATTACACCCATCGCGTTTTGATTGCCGTGAAAAGAAACTCCTTTGTCAAGAAGAGGTCCAAGTGACGGTCGTTACCAGGTACGACTGTACTTGCAATTCACATCTATCGACGCGTCTCATCGATGCATATAACATTGGCTTCATACACCCAGTGGCTTCGCCAAAATACAGGAGACGCTGATTCTACTATTTGGTAGGCCGCTCCAGCACTCACGCCTGGCTGAGGTCGAGAGGCGCAAAGCGTCGATAGCGTGCGTGAGTGTGTGTGTGTGCGCGCGCGTGTGTGTGTGTGTGTGTGTGTGTGTGTGTGCATCACAAATGCTTTTGCCCCAAGTACGTTGATGGTGAAAACTTGGCTAAGGCTGTACATGAGGACTATTTCAAGGAAATCTTCAGATGCGCTGGGTGTTGTGGCGTAGTTGTCCCAATCAGTATCCGCAAAGTTGAAGTCTCCGTATAGCACGAGGTTAGCTTGGTGAAAGCTGGATATTAGATCAGAAATGATACGATTAGGTTCGGATATAAACGAATTGTCATAATCAGGTGCAGAGTAACAAGGAACATAATATGGTCGCGCTTACCAGCTGAATCTTAAATCAGGAGATGTCGTGCTGACTTACAGTACATGCGAAAAAAAGCAAAAACCAAGTTCCTCGACGACGCTGTCATGCCTGAAAATGGCTTACGATGTCGTGTTCAAAAGCTCGTCATTCTGCATATCAGAGTTCAGCCACGATTTTATATTATAGGGTAACAGCGCAAAAGACGAGGATAACAGAGACTCACACGCAACCGACAAAGCGCTCTCTGCCAACTGAAATTTTATTGTGTCGAAGAATGTGAATAAGTGCATGTTCATGCATCAGCCTTTTTTTATAAAACCAAGAATATGCAAAAACTGCTGTGAATATGCAAAAAGTGCTGGTCCAACTGAGAATTTATTTGAAGAAAAAAAAATATATATATAAATACGAAAGTAGATGCGCTTTCACATAACAACTGTTTATTGTGCCGACGTTTCGACAGGAACCCTGTCTTTTTCAAGGCATAATACTATTTACACATGTTCCGTGCCTTTTTATATCCTATCGAGACAGGAGGGGAGGGGTCAATTGAGAGAGAGAAAAAAAAGAAAAAAAGAAGAAACAGCGAAACCGGAGGACAAACAATAAATAAAATATAGAAAATCTAGGAGAAGAAGCAAGACCGACACGGCGTAATTAGAAAGGGGCAGCATTTCAACAGAGTAGGGCAGAGGTAGATGAGGAATGTCATCATTGTCATCAATACCTCCCCCACACCCACACTTCCCCAAGTGGGCAGGGAGCCGCCGTTTTTGTATTTCACCTTTCCGTGTAGTCCGCTGGCGGCTCGTTCCTCTTTGAAGTGTATGACAAGTTAATGGGGAGGGCTTAAGTGCTTTAAGTGCATGCTGGTGGCGTCGGGAGGAGCGAAAAAGCCGGTGAATGAAGCACCGCCATCGATATTCATTATATGCATTGGCTCCTTGTCAGTGAAGGAGCAGAATGTGCGTTAAAATGTAAAGAAGAAAAAAAAACCAAGGGGGGGGGGGAGACTATACGACATCCGAGACAGTCACCACACAGTTGCGGCTCACTTGGGAAGACATGCGCGCATGCACGGGAAAAAGTTAACGAAACCACCTAGTTGTCAGCTCCTTGTCAGTGAAGGAACAGAATGTTCGTTTCAACTTAAAGAAGAGAAAGAAAAAGAAAAAGAAAAAAAAGAAAAAAAGGGGGGGGGACAATACGACATCCGGGACCACTTATCTGTGCGTTCCGACTGTGCTTGATGAGGCAAATCATTTCTATGTTGTCAGATGCATAGGCCAAAAGCTTTGTTAGCGGGTAATATTATTGTCGTAATGAAACCGGACTGATTAGAGAGAAGCGTTTGCGTCTTTTAGTTGTCGTAACGCAGACAAAGTGCCTGGGTGTTCATTTATTCCGTACTTTATCGTGTTAAATTTGTAGATAAAATAAGATTCCCGTTGTTCCCGTTCTCTGATTGTTCGAAAGTTGTTTTCTAGTAGTGTAACCCTGATGTCATCAAAGCTGTGGTCTTTTAATGTGCAGTGTTTTGAAAGTGGAAGGCCTGGCAGAGATCGTACATGTGCCCGATGGTTGTTGAATCTAATTCTAAATGGAGTGTCTGTCTGGCCCACGTATTGCTTGTTACATACCCCACATTCCAGGAGGTATATGACGTTGTCTGAGTCACAGTCTAGTGCACCTCTTATTCTGTGCTTAAAATCCGAGTGGGTGCTTTTCGCCACTGTCGTTGTCTGCATGTGTTTGCATACCCTGCATCTGCTTTTTCCGCAAGGGTGACACCCAATTTGAGGTTTCACACCTATCTTTTAATTTATTAAATGATCCTTTATATTTTTCGGCCTTCTGTATACAACACAAGAAGGAGAAGTGAAAATTTTGGATAGTCGCTTGCTCTGTTCCAATATGTTAAAGTGTTTTCTTAGGACCTTGTTTATGTTCGGTAGGTTGCTCGTGAAAGTTAATAGCAAGTTTTTGTTGCGGTGTTGGTCGGCGTTTCTCTGGTGGTTGAGAAGAATCTGGCGGTCCAGATTTTCAGCTTTTTTGATGGCGTCATTGATGACGCACAAGTTGAAACACACATTCTGTTCCTTCACTGACAAGGAGCTGACAACTAGGTGGTTTCGTTAACTTTTTCGTGCATGCGCGCATGTCTTCCCAAGTGAGCCGCATCTGTGTGGTGACTGTCTCGGATGTCGTATAGTCTCCCCCCCCCCTTGGTTTTTTTTTTCTTCTTTACATTTTAACGCACATTCTGTTCCTTCACTGACAAGGAGCCAATCCATATAATGAATATCGATGGCGGTGCCTCATTCACCGGCTTTTTCGCTCCTCCCGACGCCACCAGCATGCACTTAAAGCGCTTAAGCCCTCCCCATTAACTTGTTATACACTTCAAAGAGGAACGAGCCGCCAGCGGACTACACGGAAAGGTGAAATACAAAAACGACGGCTCCCTGCCCACTTGGGGAAGTGTGGGTGTGGGGGAGGTATTGATGACAATGATGACATTCTTCGTCTACCTCTGCCCTACTCTGTTGAAATGCTGCCCCTTTCTAATTACGCCGTGTCGGTCTTGCTTCTTCTCCTAGATTTTCTATATTTTATTTAATATTTGTCCTCCGGTTTCGCTGTTTCTTCTTTTTTCTTTTTTTTCTCTCTCTCTCTCTCAATTGACCCCTCTCCTCCTGTCTCGACAGGGTATAAAAAGGCACGGAACATGTGTAAATAGTATTATGCCTTGAAAAAGACAGGGTTCCTGTCGAAACGTCGGCACAATAAACAGTTGTTATGTGAAAGCGCATGTACTTTCGTATTTATAACCTTGCGGCAACCGAAGTTAATCTTCTGCATATAAGCCGTATATATATATATATATATATATATATATAAGTATGTATATATATATATATATATATATATATATATATATATATATTTATATATATACACTAAAGAGTGGAGGATGGGCAAAATGAAAACTTTTATTGTTCTAGGTCGTGGCTAATAAAACTTTGTTTTGCCCATCCTACACATTTTGGTACTTTTCTACTGGATCCAAGGACCCCTTCATATATATATATATTTATATATATATATATATATACAGGGAGAGAAAGAGAAAATCATCCGTAATGGAAAATTACATCTGACCGATGAAGAGAATATCTTGCACTGATAAAGCAACTGATGGCTGGCTAACGCTTTTGCCAGAACATTTTTGTTGCTTTATAAGAGCAAGAAATTTGTTTCATCGATTGGTTGTAATCATGCGTGGCGCATAGTTTTTTGTATACAGAGATATATGCTTTCCTTCAAATCAATTTTCTGTGTTTAGATCAGTGTTTGCCCGGTTTCCTTCTCTTGTGTGTTTCATTTTGCCTGCTGCCCAGTTATCAATGAGTTTCAACTCGCCCGTCTTTCAGTTCTACAAAATAACGGTACTAGTTTGCGAGCACACATAACTCGTTTTCGTAAGTACTAAATATAAAGGCGCCATAAAGAGCATCGACTACGTGAGATATTGGTGTTACAGAGCACTGACACCATGGTTGAAAAAAACAATTATTGGTTTAC